AATCATAAGTGTTTTCTAATTCTTTAATTCAGTATGGCCTTCACTGGTTGGGTTTTTATTGGTGGTCATGCTGTAGATCCTGGCTACGAGTTGCAGCTGTTGGAAACGAGAAGTAAGAATAATCCCTTTACCATTTCACTAACTTGACTATCATTTACAGGCCCAGTATTAGAGATGATATCAAAATTCAACTCGCTGGAAGCTGACAGACTACAACTGGACACATTCCCAACAGTCCACGATGCAGTTGTTTACTACAAACTAGTTGAAGCGAAGAAGCACGAAATAGCTGTCACGGTGACAGCGTGATACCTGTCATTTTGACAGGAGTTGGCTGATTGCGCACGCGACATTTTACGTGTAAGTGCGGTTGTTAGGGCCAATGACTTTTGTCGTTTGAAGTATGTTCAAAGAAAATGCTTGGAGTAGAATAGTACAGTAAATTTTAACCTACAGCAAAATAACGACCCAAATGGATTTTGAAACTGAGTTTTGTCGTAAAATTGATTTTTCAAAAAATGCTACGCCAGAAACTGCGACGTAATGCCACGATATTTTGTGGCATGGTGGTACATTGTTTCAGTGACTGCTCGCTACGATTTATGTCATATCGTATGAATGGCACTCTATCTTATTTTTAACGATAAAGGTGTTTGTTATGTTCATCTAAAATCGATATAATTCCACGATTATATCGTGGTCTTTACGTTGCACTGGTTTATAAGTTTCAGAGTCATGAAAGAAATTAGTAATTTTGTTGTAGGTTGATAAATTAATGCTATTTTAATAGGCAGCTAGCATTTGCTAAATACGGTTTATGTTCCGTACTTAACGTATATTAACGAGTTTAAATGCAATAACTGCAACCCGATCAAGCTAAATGCGTACCTAGCGGGAATGCGACTCTCCCTCGCACTCACCCGCCACAGAGTAAATACAAATGAGTAGGTTATCTTCATAGAAACGCACCGAGCGCGGTTTGTATGTGAGCGCGCCAATACGTATGCGGCGCGCACGCACACACTACCAAAATTCGGCGCAACCACGACTGGCTCCCCGCTAATCCCCGCTATATTTTGTCAGTGTGTGCGTGCGCACCGCATACGTATTGGCGCGCTCACATACAAACCGCGCTCGGTGCGTTTCTATGAAGATAACCTACTCATTTGTATTTACTCTGTGGCGGGTGAGTGCGAGGGAGAGTCGCATTCCCGCTAGGTACGCATTTAGCTTGATCGGGTTGCAGTTATTGCATTTAAACTCGTTAATATACGTTAAGTACGGAACATAAACCGTATTTAGCAAATGCTAGCTGCCTATTAAAATAGCATTAATTTATCAACCTACAACAAAATTACTAATTTCTTTCATGACTCTGAAACTTATAAACCAGTGCAACGTAAAGACCACGATATAATCGTGGAATTATATCGATTTTAGATGAACATAACAAACACCTTTATCGTTAAAAATAAGATAGAGTGCCATTCATACGATATGACATAAATCGTAGCGAGCAGTCACTGAAACAATGTACCACCATGCCACAAAATATCGTGGCATTACGTCGCAGTTTCTGGCGTAGCATTTTTTGAAAAATCAATTTTACGACAAAACTCAGTTTCAAAATCCATTTGGGTCGTTATTTTGCTGTAGGTTAAAATTTACTGTACTATTCTACTCCAAGCATTTTCTTTGAACATACTTCAAACGACAAAAGTCATTNATCTTCATAGAAACGCACCGAGCGCGGCTTGTATGTGAGCGCGCCAATACGTATGCGGCGCGCACGCACACACTACCAAAATTCGGCGCAACCACGACTGGCTCCCCGCTAATCCCCGCTATATTTTGTCAGTGTGTGCGTGCGCACCGCATACGTATTGGCGCGCTCACATACAAACCGCGCTCGGTGCGTTTCTATGAAGATAACCTACTCATTTGTATTTACTCTGCCCGCACACTTCCCCGCGATCGACCCGTCGTCCGTATCAAAGCGTCAAAGTGACGTCACGGCTAACAGGTACGCTGTTAACCCGACCCGGTTGTTTATTTAAACGTTTTATTTTTAAGTAGCAAATTAAATAATTGTATTATTTAGTCAGAATGTATTTAATGCAAAATTTATGCGAAATTTATTCGTAGTTTAGATTTTTTAGAATAAAGGACGTAGCACACTTATCAACCCAGAAAGGGATCGTAACCGTACCAACTCGAGGCGGTCAGTATTATTTGTATGAAACTCCATACTGCAACGCACACTTATCCGCACCGTAACGTAAACGCCTCGCCTCGCGGTTGACAGCGCGCGTAAGGCGATGACATTTTGCGAAAGGCGATACGATGTTGATCCCTTTCCGAGTTGATAAGTCCGCTATGACCTTAAAAGTGTTATTTTGGCTGTTACAACAGATTTTGTACAATTTATAGAGATATCGAAATGATGCCATATTAATGAGTTTTCATTATTTTCTTTAAAGGCCTATTCAGACCTAAGCGGTATTCGCTACCGTCTGCGGCAGAGAAAACCCAGTGGGTATGCGGTAATAATACTGTTCAGACCTAAGCGGTATTCGCTACCGTCTGCGGCAAAGAAAACGCTCTAGCCGCGGTACTTATTGATACTAAATACCTGAGCGAAACCCGCGTGGTATGTACCTCTACCCACAGCGGCAGCGAATAGCGCTCAGGTTTGAATAGGCCTTTAATCAGTCATGAATCGGATAATCTTGAGACTTGTCGAATTTTCGAGGATCTTATATGTACTTATTGTATATTAGAAAAAAAAATTATGATCAGTGCCCGTAGACAATGACTATCATTTTGTTTTACAATTTTGGTTCGTTTTTCGATAATTATATCAACGTTTTGTACTTAATTCGTGACTTAACGAATAAAAAAGCGATCACACATACTCGAATCAGTCTATTGTAAATGTCAAATTATCTATAGGCCCATCCCTAGACATAATAACAAATGTGACAGATTTAATTTCGAGATCGATTCGCTGAAAAAAGACTTAGGCCCAGAACAGACGATGAAACGCAACTGCAACGAAACTGCAACTGCTAGTTACTTTTGAGTTGCATCTAAGTTTTTGCCATAGCGTCCGTTGAGAGACCACACATGACGCGACCAGTTTGAAAGTTTATGGCAGAAACTTAGATGCAACTCAAAAGTAACTAGCAGTTGCAGTTTCGTTGCAGTTGCGTTTCACCGTCTGTTCTGGGCCTTAGCGAAACGAGTTTCAAAACTGCCTGTACTGTATATTTTTGTGATAAATATCGAGCCTTATTGATTTTATTTTCATATCAATACGTTATTATTTCAATTATTTATGTATTTATAGCTAAAACATAATTATGTACAAAAGTACTTAATAAAGACTCTAGGTAAAGGTACACACATGCTTTATTACAATTAATCTTTATTGAAATTACTTAGATAAAATAAATAAATAAAAATAAATATCCTTGGACATTTTACACTGCGCCGCTAGCCTCAAACTAAGCAAAGCTTGTACTATGGGTACTAGACAACGGATATAAACATACTTAAATACTAAATAAATAATGCTATTTATTTAAAGCATGTGGTTATACCTATCTAATTTATTAAAAGTATAACATTTTGTGATCATATAAAAAGACAGGGTTGTCGAAAAATAAGTTAATCGAATATTATAAAAATAAGAAATATTTGACGATGCATTATGTCGTATAAACAAAACTGTCTGGCCTCACGTACCGGACTAAGTACTTAGCCATTTTGTATCTGAAAGATATAATGTACTTTTAGAACTATTTTTGTAACTGATAATGAACGCATTATTTAAAATATTGCCATTACTGAAAAGTTCGCGAAAATATTTCAAAAACTTATATTTGACAACCCTAAAGCATATTTATTGTAAAATATGGTAAAATACATATAGCCAGTAAGTCTGTTGTGATATTTTGTACCTAAAACTATAATGTTGTATGTACTTAGGTATATAGGTAAATAAATGTTGATATTTTAATGTTTTGTTTAAATTAGATCCCTATTCGAGTTGGTGTGAGAGTTGGAGTTGTCTTATAGTTTTATTTTAGGCAATGTAGTTCAACAATGATATTTAATGAAGTAGACACATTTAAAACCAAGAATTATATTATGTACCTACTAATAATAAAGTGAGCAGTAGGAAAGAGATGTAGGGATTATGGATACGGACCCCGAGCGCGAGTTCGACTCGCACTTGGCCGTTTTTTCTGACTGGTGTACAGAACCCTAAAAATTTTAAGACTTGTCATCCTCCTTTTTTTAAATGTATTTCAGAATAGAGAGATAAATATCTTTACAATGATAAGACTATCCGGTTTTACTTTATCAGAGAGAAATGTTCACCTACCCACATTAATCGGATTGATTTGTTACGTTACCGAAAGCAATATTGCACTCTATAAAACTTTCTCTCTTTGTAACGCCGATGTAACACTTGAAGGTCTTTACAGGTAGGTAATACTGTAGCTATAGCTGACCCGACGAACTATAAATTAATTTAGATCTAATAGTTTCGGTCGGAGCCTAGAAGATTACAGAATCCCTCGTCAATCCCTCACTTTGCTCGGTCGGGATTTCAATACCCGTGAGAGACAAGACACTGCATTTTTGGTGCAATCCACCCTAATTATAAAGCACATGACGTTGCAAGAATGCGGGTAGATGCCTACATCCAAACACGTCAAGATGGCGTGACGTCTGGAATAATTTTATCTAAGTACCTACATGCTTCATAAAAATAATGTCGAAACAACAACATTATCTGTGCATGTAACATATTTTGGAGCGTCACCGTAATAATCTCTGGATAATAATAAAAAAAAAAAAAATAAAATAAAAAGTATTTATTTCGGATAACAGGGATCCATAATGTTAGTNATCTCTGGATAATCCCCCGTGCTTATTTGATAAAAGATAATTGTAATTGATCATTAGCGTATTATAACATTGATAATTAAGTGCCAAGACCGAATCCGTCAAATATTGCATCGCAGTAAGAACTTGGTGGCTTAAGATGGCGGCTGCATATGTATTTGGTTTTATCCTCGTCTTCGGACTGGTTGGGGTAAGAAAAAAATTTGAATTACTTATATCAATACTAGCTTTTCTCGCGGCTTCACCCGCATGAAATTTAGTTTGTCACAGATCGTTATAAATAATAGCCTATATGTTATTCTGGGTTATAAACAAGTACTGTAAAGTTTTATCAAAATCCGTTCAGTAGTTTTTGCGTGAAAGAGTAACAAACAAACATCCAGACATCCCTACAAACTTTCGCATTCATAATATTAAGCAGGATAGGATTTATTCATAATTGAAACAGGTTGAGAGAGCTCTTTTGTTACTTGGGATATGTTGATGTTCGTTCCTTTCAACCAAAAGACCACCTACACACTTGGACCATAGTATGAGTGGACCACAAGATGGACCGACGACATAATAAAGGTAGCAGGAAGGCGCTGGACGCAGGCCGCTACCAACCGGTCAACATGGAGGTCACTGGGGGAGGCCTATGATCAGCAGTGGACCTCTTACGGCTGAAAATAAAATTATGATGATGATAATAATGAGCAACAACCATATTAGGTTGGACAAAGGCCGCCTCAGGATTTTTAAAACAAACAGTGTGTGTATTGGTCTACCCTCATTCTAAGTATTTTTACGTTCGACGCCGCGGCGCCGGTAATCCGTACTGCACACTGACATCACAAATACTTAACTTTTAATTCATCATCAACATCATCATCTCAGCCATAGGACGTCCACTGCTGAACATAGGCCTCCCCCAATGCTGTCCATGTTGCCCGGTTGGTAGCGGCCTGCATCCAGCGCCTTTCTGCTACCTTTATGATGTCGTCAGTCCACCTTGTGGGTGGACGTCCCATGCTGCGTACCTACCGGAAAACTTTTAATTATGAGAGAGACTTAATTTTTAAATAGTGTTGTGTGAGTAGGGTTGCCAGGTCCAAAATCACAAAAGCCGGACTTTGTGCTTCATTTGGCCGGACATTTTACCATAAAAGCCGGACATATGACGGGGGGGGGGGGTGCAATTAGTGTCAGCTCATGAGTGAGTACTATCATCATCGGTTGCTATCCAACATCCTGATGCGTGCGCTTCATATGATTCTGTGGCTCGACTTTCTCCTGGCGCGGCAACCAAATAAAAAGCCGGACAGGCCGGACAAGGCAATATTTGGCCGGACAAGTCCCTAAAAAGCCGGACGCCTGGCAACCCTATGTGTGAGTAAAGACGGTGTATGTTTTAGGCCCTCCACCCAGTCTTGAGAGATGCTACGCCAGCGTTTGTGGAGGACATGCGCGGCAGCAGTAAGTTACCTACATTTTAATAACCTTTTATTCTTACTTATAAAGCCTTTCCGATAGTAACCCTTCATCACGTTTACCATCTGTGTACTTATTTATTCATTCTGATGACGTAATGCATTCATAAACAACCTGTTCAAGTTAATGAGGGCTATCGTTTTTATACTTAACAGTTGGCACCCCTGGCGATTGACAGGACCTTACTCTACAGTGGCGCCATGGCACGAAAAGAAGAAGAGTGGCGCCATCTTGATGAGTGCAAATGCGATAGTCCTCGTACCACTTTAGCGCTCACCAGTTGGTGCCACTGTCTTCGCTACTAGCAAGTGACAGGACCTTACTCTACAGTGGCGCTAACTGGTGAGCGCTAAAACGATAGCCCTCATTGCGCACCTCGCTGGAAAGCGACTCTCTCGCACTCACCCGCACATCTCCTCGCGTTCGCCACGTACCAGTGTCGATGTGACGTCACGGCGCCAGGTGCGCAGTTAACTTGACCTGTATCAAAATACAGTGTGAGTCACGTTAAAGTGTACATATGAAAATAGATGAAACTAGACCTATTTTTATCGACAAAAAAGAGGTCAAAAAATTTTTGAGATTTTTTTTTAATTTTTTATAGAATTTTTTTTCTTCAAATTACTTATTGTAAAGAAAACGTAATAACTTTTAAACTAAGCGGTATATCCTGATAAAAAAAAACAGTAATAATGCTAAATAACAGGCGATACTAAAAAAATACATAAAATATACAAAAAATGCCAACAAATAATNCTTAAGTGAAGCAGCAAATCGATCGCAGAGCGTTGAATAGAGCTCTGTGATTGGTTCGTGTGTGACCCTGTGCGTCCACGCGCACTGTGAGACCTAGTAATGTTTGTGAATACGGGCGTAAATGCCCTGTGTCCCCTAAATGGGGCAGAGGGCGTCCCCAACAGTCCTCCATCGCGTTCGGTCTTGAGCTTCGCGTTTGATCTCGCTCCAAGTCTTACCGTTTTCTTCGCCTCGTCTGCTACAGAAATAAAGTTACATGGTAATAATCGTGGTGGTCTCCAGGCAGGATCGTCGCCGGCTGGCCTGCAGCAGATGGGCAGATCCCCCACCAGATCAGCCTCCGCATGGTGAGCGCGGCCGGCGCCGTCTCATCTTGCGGCGGCTCCGTCATCCACCACAACTGGGTCATCACCGCTGCTCACTGCGTGGCCAAGTTAGTATCGAAAGTGTTCAGATTATCTAATTTCTGCGTGAAAAAGTGCAGAGCGCAAGAAGCAAAATGTTCCAAAAAGTTTTCTAAAACCAATATGAACCGAATTCGCTTTCGGTTTGGAGTGGAGGCCGCGTACCGGAAAACGCAGCGTGGGACGTCCACCCACAAGGTAGACCGACGACATTATAAAGGTAGCAGGAAGGCGCTGGACGCAGGCTGCTACCAACCGGGTAACACGGAAAGCATTCAACAGTGGACGTCCTATGGCTGAGATGATGATGATGATGAATTCGGATTTCGGTATATTAAGCGGTACTAATCTGAAACTTGATGTTCAAAGTTACAAGTTGAAAATGGAGGATAAAGACCATTTTCTGAAACTAAAAGTTCTGGAGACTACCCTGTCTGTCTATACCTAAATATAAAACTTTCTATCAGTGTGCGTTATCGACTCATCAATAAGAATTAAGACAATAATCGGCCAACTTTTAATCTTCGCTGCTAAAGATAGACTTACAAAATCGGTCAGCTGTGGTTTCTCATTAAAAGATTGTTAATATCGCTACTGCCTACTGTACTTAATATTATAAGGTAGGTATAGTTCTAGCGTTTAACTCAGTTATTGCCTGAGGTATGGCAGCAGCAAGGGAGGGTTTTTAAACGTCAAACGTCAGCGAGACTTCAGATATCCTTCACATTTGTAAGCTCTGTCACGTCATAAAACAGGGTGGAAACGATAAGTGATCTCATTCGATTATTTCTAAACTATACAAGATATCGAAAAACTGGTTACTGATTCTGAAAGTGCTTTACGAACTCTATCCAACGGTACCAATAATAGGTCACAGAATTAACTGGATCTATCTGACAAATTAAATGTTTCCAGCTTCCATACATTTAGTAAAATCACATAATATTAAAAACTATACAAGATATC